GTACATCAGACCCTGCAATGGCAGATTAATAGCAATCCAGCCCAATTAGGAGTAAAATATGACAAACCCACAGAAGAACTCAGTAAAGGTTTGGATTGTTTGCTCTGATGAGGATATATTAATATCTCACTCCCAGTTGAAGTTGGGAGATGTTGATTGATGGAAAGGACTGCACTTAAACTTAATTTCTTTTTTTCTTTGTAGCTATCTCTGGTGCTTTTCTTTTGTTCTCTTTAATTTTGACTTTCCTTGCTTCAAAAAAAAAAATTGATTTTTCTTCTCTCTTTTTTGCAGGCATTTGAATACAAGAGGCTGTTGCTGGACTACAATAGAGAGGTTCGGCGAGCAACTCATGACACCATGGCTAATCTTGTTCTTGCTGTCGGGTTTGAACTTTGAGCCTCTTTGTACTGATAAACCTTGCATTTGCTTTTATGTTTCTTCTTGTAATGATACCTGCTAGCCGGAAGCTGAGTAATTTAATGACAATTATCATTACTTTTAGTTATTGTCGTTTGATCAAACTATGATATAAAAAACCCAACTTAATTTTGTTTTTTGTATGTGTAAGAAGGAAATAAAAAATGGAGTATAAGAGAAATAGAGAATATTTCTTCTGTGTATCTTGCACTATGGGAAAAAGAACCCTCTTGTCTAACCTGAGCAGCATGATTGTTTTCTTTTTGTTTGCAAACAGGATTTTATGATGTACTTGAGTGAGACTCTCATGTCTAGTTACCATTATGGTTTTATGTTTGTAGCCCTTTCTGACTGTGGATCTCTTGTCCAAAATAATTTTTCTTCCTTTGGAGTCCAATAATTTGTTAAATTGTTGCTTGCATGTTGGATCATGCCATCTTTCACTTGTACTCGAAAAAATGTTACTGAAGTTGTATTAAGGAAAATCACAAATTTGTATGTTGTCCAGGAGAGATTTAGCTCCACATCTGAAGTCTTTTATGGGACCGTGGTGGCTTTCTCAATTGATTCAAATTCTGAAGTTGCTCAAGCTGCAAAAAGATCATTACAGGTTTCCGCCTCTTTTTTTGGCAAGCTGCAATTTTCTTTAGTACATAATCTTGTGATATGATTCTCAGCTACTTCCCTATGATGACAGACTAGTGGGAGAACATGTAAAAGCCATGAAGTTATATTTGAGTCACTTTGTGCAGCTTGAACATAATAAAATGCCTAAACCTGCCATTATGTGAGGTTCTGGATCTCTAAACACGACGACAGACTAGTGGGACGTAATCTTGTGAGGTTCTGGGTCTTTAGGACCTAATCTTGTGATACGAGTCTCGACTACTTCCCTATGATGACAGACTAGTGGGAGAACATGTAAAAGCCATGAAGTTATATTTGAGTCCCTTTGTGCAGCTTGAACATAATAAAATGCGTAAACACGGAAAATGTAAACCTGCCATTATGTGAGGTTCTGGGTCTCTATCAAAGTCTGAAAGCAACCTTAAGTAGTCTCCCAAAATAATTGATTGGAAACAAGTCTGGTGCGTAACTATAGTCACTGGGGAGTAATGTGATTTAGGCTTGTTAGCCTCACTATTGTATAACATATTGGACACAACTTCAATATAGCCTGAGCTATGATTTCAAAGAACTTGACTTGTGCAACCTATGCACACTACGTGAGGGGTTGGCCAACATGTATCTCTTTGTGAATATTATTAATTGTTTCAACACCTTTATGACTTGCTAGAGAGTTTAGTTACCAAATTCAAATTGTTTACTTGCTGTGGCTTTTTGTTGATTT